ATGTTTACACAGTGACACAGTGCATATCGTAAACAGCATTGCAGCATTGATTCACAGAAAAATGAAAAAACAAACGCTTTCTATGTCATCCAACAAACTCATACTTCTTGTTCAATTTCTCCAGCTGAGAGATGGATTTCTTGAAGCAATCCAGATGCTCCGTCAATTTCTCGTCAACGGCAGTGATGAAGAGGTCGCACTGCTCAAGTTTCTCGGGGCTTAGCTCTTTCATCAACTCTTTGTTGATTGAAGCAACTTTTGTGTACGTGGGCATGATCTCAGCCACGTCAGCAAACGAGTCGCCAATCTCCTGACTCAAGTTGTCACTGCACAAGTTGGCAGTCAAGACACAACCTTCAAGAAACTTGGTTGGCTGGCTCAAGGTCTTGCTGGCATCAAAGGGTTGACCAGACTGGATGGACTTCTTCAACCATGCCAAACCCTGAGCATCCAACACCTTTGTCAGGCGCTCCAACGCTGCGTTGAATTCCTTGGCCGCCTCGGAAGTTGGAGAGCCCTCCTCGTCAGAGTTTGCCATTTTGGAACGCTGCATCACCAAGCGCAATTTGGTGAGCAACTTGCAAGCAGCATCCAGTGTGGCCTCGGGAGAGGTGCCACTGCAAGCCTGTTGGAACTCACCAACCAAGCCGCCAAAGTCGGCCACGCCGCTCATGGCCTTGCCCATTTCAGTCTGAAACATCATGGCGACATCACCTTAGTAAAGTCAAATCAAAATACGTCACACGCAGCAAAGCCAGCAAAGTAAGAAACCAGATTGCTGGGTCCGGAATTCCATCGCAACCCGGTGCGGCACACGGTACTGTACGCTACGGTGTTGTACACTGCTACAAATACGGTAGGCTATCGATATCGACATTGTGATGCATATAGGCTAAATATAGGCATCAAATGAAGATGAGAGGAGAGGATGCAGGATACAAGAAACAGTGAGATAGCTGAGATAACCATTCCCTGGATCTCGATACTGTATAGACCGATAGACTGGACCTGGATAGACGGTATGGTCGATGGCTCTAGTCCATAGTCTAAGTCTATAGTCTATAGTTGTCTAACTTCTATAAGAGCTCTATAACTATTGCTTGCTGTCCACATCATCATTGCAATCTTATCTTATATATCATATCTTTTAATCTGTTGAATCCCCGAAAACCTCCTTTCCCACCCAAAGCCTGCAAAAGGCCGACATGATACTTCACAGTCCATTTGCAGAAACAAGCACCTGGTGAGTGGTGAGTGTCAATCAATGCGTTGGTGCAGGTGTGAAGTGATGAATCTGTAAATCTGCGTGAAGTGTGCAGCACGCAGCATGCCGCATTTGTATCACTCTGTCAACATCAACAAATGCAATAAAAGGCTTTGCATGAAGCAGCTAACAACGGTAGAATTATCCTCCCAGTTCAAAACTGAAAAAGGACGAGACGCGGACAAGCTGGAAAGAGCCCATCCACTCAGCTTTAGTGATCGAGCATAGGCTGGCCTCTTCTGAGCCTGGCTGCGCCCATTGTTGCCTCAGCCAACCCTTGACCGTGTCATAGGTCGCGCACACCAAAGGCGAGAGCACATCGTCAAATGCCTTCACCGAATCGTCCAATGCCTTATAAGGACCTCTGCAGCCTTTGGGCTGTCATCCGTCGACATGCTGGAAAGCTCAAAATGCAGAGACTGAACGCAAAAGCTGCCACAGTCTTTGGCCACCTTCTTCAGCAGCTGCAGCTTGTCGGAGTGTGTCCGAAACTCCTCCATGGCTTCATTGATGAAGGAAGAAACAGTAGTTCCACTCTCAACCAAGCGCTGGGTATCCATGGCCTTCTTTCCCTCAGCCAGCACCTTCTGCCAAAGCTGCCTTGGATAACAATGATCGAATGCGAATTCACGTATAGCCCGTATAGCCGTATAGCTGTATAGCTCAGGAACTAGGCTAGTGAATCAATGAAAGTGAAAGTTGGTGTGAAATGGTCTTGAAATGGTTCCCGGTCCGTGGTTTTCCTTCTTTTAGGTTGACTAGACTATTTCGCCTAAGCCTAAGTCTAACAGTGCTTCAGAACTTCACTTCAAGTGTCAACAATAGAAGTCCGGCAAAGCAAGCCTTCAGTAGTTTACGTTTAAGTTTGGTCGGAAGAACTTACCAAGATGTGTTGCTATTTCATCTCCATGGCCCATGCTGCATGGCCCATTACTGTATCTTATCTAGGTTATCTTAAAGTTATATATTAGTATTATTCTGCCTTTTTGTCACAATGCAAAGTTTCTTTCAAATATGCAATCGTGTCTCTTCCATCCTTGGCTTTGCCGCTGCGCCAATGTCACACGGGAAGAGTAGTCAGCACCAGCAGCCTCCCTGAAATGGACACGGTCCGCGTTCGAGATCGGTGTTGATGTTTGCTCGAGCTTGGCAAGAAGAAAGCAGCAATACAGCGGCTGAAGGTCAGTAAGTACTTGGATACTGAAGCCGGTTTGGTTGTCAAAGACTTCTGGAATGGCAGCTTCAATGCATAGCTGATGAGGGACACCACCCCTCAGGGCACAAAGGCTAGCAATTCATTCCAATCACCCAATGATGAGATCATCGGTCACCCAATGAAGGGATAAGAGTCTAAGAGTTCAATGTATTAGCGCTGCCTAAAAACTTTGAAGAAACTGGAAACTACCCACTCAAAGTCCGTGTAAAAGATTCAGATTCAGCCATCAAATGATGAATCATGAAGAATGCAGAATGAATCATTAATATTATGTAATATGTAACTGTAACAGTAGTAATAGTAATATATTGATCAATCAATGTCAGAGTAAATTATGAACATGAATAATAATCAGTAATAATCAGAACCAAAACTGAATAGAATAGATCATAGATCATATAGATCTATAATTTCTGGAATCGGAATAGTATATAAACCTGTACATTTTCCATCACCGTCCGCCTACCATCCCGCTGCTGGGTGTTTTGTATGAACGCTACAGACGCTACTGCTACTGTTTGCAGCCCAAAGTATACCCCGATTGAAGTTGCGCAAACATGGTCCTAACACCGATGCCGCCGATACCAGTTCATACGAGTCGCCTTGTGACTAATGCTGAGTGGTCCAGTCTAATTAAAGAATCCTGTCTTAAAATCACCTGCCTCAAAATCTGCACGTCCCCCGCAAAGTTGATGCTCTTCAAAGCTTTGCAGCAAAGGGAAATGATCTTCGAAAGGGGCATCTGCTTGAAAGCTTCGATCCAAGTGTGAACGATCGTCATTTGGGTTCTGAGGAGAGCACGGTCCAAGGGATCACTGGTCCCGAAAAGGCAACCAAAGCTGAAAAAGGCCGGCTCGCCCTCGGTGACCTTCTTGGTGCTTAAGAACTGAAAGAATGCCGTTCCTGACTCCTGCCATAGGGCCATGGGCCATACGGGCCATACGTGTCATGTCACATTGTCACATGTCACATACCGATATATGATATACTGTATCAGACGGCGCGTGTCTAGCCGTTTGATGTTATCAAAAAGCACTGCGTTACCCATCTAAGCTAGCATTCTGATGACTTGCAGCTGGTACCAAACCAATTTGAATGTCTCACCAAACGAGTTGATATTTTACATTCCGAGTCCGAGTCTTGTAATTTATGGACTTATTTTGGTCAGTAACTATGTCGAGTCATGCCGCCATATCCATATCAACGGCCGCTGCCCTCGATTGCAAAACACATTTTTTCACAGTCACACCCCCGATCCTCTGACAGTTTGTTCCCAATGTGCATCAGCATGGTGGACAAGCACTCAGCATCCATCAGAGGCAGTGCCTCGGTGAGCTTGGTGACTGCATCTGCATCCTTCAAGATTGAAAGGACCTGCTTGCTCCCTCGAACTTGACCCAAAATGTCATGGAGGACTGATATCTCGTTGACTCGTTTCTCCATTTGTGAAGCCAATCCTTCCATCTCATTCTTGACCTGGCAGGCCTCAAGAGTGGCACCTTGTTGGGCGAGAGATGCAGCGCTTTGCGATGCTTTCTTGAGCCTTGCTAGGATGTCGCTATCCTTGAAGGAGTTCTTCCAAATAGCTGGAGCAGTCAAGGGCGCCAAAGTGCCCATAACTTTGGTGGCCTGTTCCATGGCTGACTTCCCTTTATCCATGGCCTTGCTGCCGGAAGAATTTGCTGCTTCCTTTGGAGGAACAGCAGCCGGCGCTTTTCCTCTGTGCCTGGTTTGTGGCGCCCCACCACCAGAACCACCATTGCCAGCACCACCACCATTGCCAGCGCCACTGTGCTGAGCTTTGCCCTTTGGCCTGGCAGCGCTGCTTGGAGCGGCAGCTTTGAGGCCGAAATTGCTGGAAGCATCACTGGCAGCTCCATCATCCTGAGACGCCGCCTCATCCTTGTCACTCTCTTGGTCTTCTTTGGTCGCAGCGGCAATCGCCTCCTGGAACGATGTCAGTTAGCGGACCGAATGAGGGGACATTATAACTTAGCTGTCAAACTAGTGGCAGGCACTTGTGAAGCAACACAACATGAACTCCAACAACACACGCACATAAATATATATATAATATATATACTGTACTATATACGAGAGTCAAACACCCGTCCATCCCTACAAACATTGCGTGTTTTTTTCAGAATCAATATCATATGAATCATATCATGAAAACAATACATGTTCTGTCCCAGATCCAGACCGGACACAAAAAGCACCAAACCAAACCACATCATTGCAGTCGCTGCATTCCATTGTCGCGGGGACAACGCACAAAAAGCAATATGTGTTTGTTATTATATAACTATTATTTAAAACATGATATGTTATTGTTATACAGTTATACAGAGTTATACAGTTATACAGTTATACAGTACTAACTTAAAGGGTTGATTCCACCCTAAAGAATTGCTATAGACTATAGACTATGGATTGTCGTCTCTACGGTACAACGTCTCTACGGTATGACGGTACTGTTCTTACTTGCCTACACCCAAGCGTATCACGAAACTGTCAAACTTAGGAGTCCTTGGAGTTGCACTCCACGCCGAGCCCTTTAGAATGCTTCGCTTGTTGGGCAAGAAGTTCTTGACGATCGTAATCTTCTCCCCCAAAGTTCATTTGTTTGATCTTGGTAGCGCTGAGTCGCTTGCCAACTCTGATTTCCTTTTGCTCAGCATCTGGCCCGTCTTTTGGGACGGCAACTCCGTCAACCCCCGACTCATCTGGCTGTATTTTGATGCCGCGCTTGAGTAGGTGCGCTTTGCGCTGGCTATCATTCTTGAATTTCATGGATGGAAAATGTGTGTCGCAGAACTTGCGTAGTGAAACCCAAACCATGACCTTGGCACGAGGGGGCAGGAGGATTTACTAAAGGCTAGGACTGGAGGGGCCGTGGTGAACCTTTGAAGAATTCAGGTCATAACCCGGCAGTTCATCCCCCGCTTTTACTGCCTATCACTGCACCCTATCACCTTTCTAATACTTGGCAAGATTGTGGGGAAAGTGAAAGTCCAAGCAGCTGATGCCACATCAACGTAGGTCTCGTCCTTTTTCTCCAGCAAATTCTTGACATCAGGCTTCTCATGTCGGTATCGAGCATTAGGGTTCTGCGCCACGAAGACAACCTGGGCGGCCCTCATGCGATCATACCTTGGTGTAGCAAGGGGCCAACTTCCTTTTTCTCTGCGATCGGGGTCTGAAGTTGTTCATGCGGTGGGTGTACGCAGCATGTACAATATACAGTATATACAGCCACATTAATGTTTTCAGATTGAGGAAAAATATGCCGATATGGCTAAGTGGGGGCTATGGGCCACTTGTGTTTTAAGTAGTCTAGTCAGTCCAGTCTAGTGATGATGTGTTTTTGCCTTGTTTTGTTATAGAACACTGGTGAGGCAAGTGTCTTCTCTCGGAATGAATCGTTGTCATTCAAGTTTGTGATGAGCTCGGATATCTTCATGTTGTTGAGGCTTCCCCTCTTCAGGTAGTAACATGCCCTGCATAGGCAACAATTGCCGCCTTGCTTGATCATTACCACCTCCACAATGACGCCGGTGGGGGCATCCTTTCGACATCTACACACTCACAGCTCTGGGCTGGCATGCCAAGTGGAACATGTCCAGTCCACCCTCACTCCCTTTTAAACTGTGAAGGTGAAAAAATGACAGATTACGGTTTACGAGGAGTGACCAATCAACGCAAAATCACGTAGTACTGTACTGAAACGGAAGGAGTTCCATTGCGATGGATCGATGCAGCAAAAACATCCAACACCTGCACTCTGTAAAGTACGTACAAGTGATACAAAAAGTAATTAGAAATTAGTAATTAGTAATTAGAAATTAGTAATAATAACGGTTGGGGTCACACCACCCGCGCAACAGTCCTTGTCAGTATCACCTTCTTTCTGTTTGCATGCCAAGCAAAGCTTCGCTTCCTCGACCGGAACTCCCTTATCTGCGGCATCCTTTCTGCCACCCATGACTTGCGCAGCGGTGAGTCAAGAGTGCAAGAAAACTCGGGTGGTTATGGTGCCGTGCAGCCTACAGCACAAAAACCCTTGAGCAAAAATGAAAAGTGAGGAGCAATAGCCTTAGAAAAACGTGCGACGGCGAGAGCTTTTGACTCTTCTGACCTTGTTCCGCTTGTGGCAGATTATGGATCAAAATGTTTTCGATCTGTATGGAAAGCAAGACTAGACTAGACTAGATTATACTGCATGGCGTGGCTCCGCCATTTAGCCTTCAAAAGCAACACTTTTTCTCAACGTTCCTCGGAAGCAGCAAATGCTGCCCCGAAGAATCCAAAGGACACACTGGACCAATTGGCAGCAGTCCATCCAGCCTGAATCTGTGCCTAATCGTCCTGAGTCCTGCTGCTTCCTCTCAGAATGATCTAACAAAAAACAAAGTTATACAAAGTTAAGTTACTGTGAACAAACGCAACACAACACAACTCACAACACATGAGTTCACATGAGTCATGTGAGTAAGCACTTGCAAACAGCAACAATGGCAGTGGCAGGACGGGAAACATCCGAATCCCATCTTCTAGATTCATATGACTACTCACTGCGGAAAAGGATTGAGCAGTGCAGCGTGCCTGTTAAAAATGCAAGCAAGATGATCAGATGATCAGATGCATCAGCTTTGACGCATTGCCTACTTCCATCTCAGATCCACGGCCAACACACTTCACTGGAGTGATCAGGACCCGGCTGAAGGTTCTAGGACTTTGACTGGACTACAAGGATCAGGATCAGGATTTTCATCATCATCATCTGAACTCCAGCCCAAAATCAAAGTCTTGGCGTCAAGAATGTCATCGTCGTGGTTGTTCACGGGCTCCTCGGGCACGAAGGGAGAGGAGAAAATGCCAAGACTCTGAAGCGGAGGACATGGCCCATGGAGCAAGCGACATCCATTCGCTGTTGGCAGGGCCCAACACATCAACGTATAGAGGCATGCGGAAAGCACGCTGGACGTCATAGCATTGCCTGATGTGGGTTCCGTTCAGGATTTCTCCGTGTGCTGACTCCGGATGCTACTATACAGTTGTCTACAGTCAGTCTATATATAGTCTATAATCTATAGTTTATGTATCGTCTACCGTCTACCGTCTATCAGCCTGGCAGCCTATCATATCATAGAATCAGAATCACTGTCTATAGTCTATCAGATCCATCAGTGTATGTTTGTTTGTCTGTCTATCTATCTATGCTATTTGTCTATGCAGTCTATGACAGTCTATGCAAGAACCCATTGCTACTCTGTATTTGAAAGTGCTGAGTCCTGAGCGCTGACTTATCAGCTTCTGCTCAGCTTCTCGACAAAAATACAAGAAGGAAGCGGCCTGCAATCCGATTCCAGAAGTTGAAGCTCGGATTGCTTTGCAAGTTGAAGCGCTGCGGGTCCAGTCCCTGCATGGCCAAGAGCTCCTTCATTTGTTTGTGCCCGGAGTAATCAAAATTGAAATATGGAAAACGTAATCCATAGTAAAAATGATAAGGCGGTTGAGTCAAGGCCAACCAGTATTAGTGAACGTACTCCGTAAACCGTAAACCGTAAACCCGTAAACAGTATTATATGTAGTAATTAGTAAGGGTCGAGTCAGAGTCTTTAACCAACCAGAAAAAGTTGCCCCAACGTGGCGCATTGTTCAAATCCAAGGTTCTGAAATGCAAGAAATAAAACGCGGAGTAGGTGTTGTGTACTAGCAGTTGGGAAGAGATTGCGAAAATTGGAAATGGATGGTCTTGAGGTTGCGGTTGAAGTTATCTATACATTTATACTGTATACTTTATACTCTGAAAAAATAGCCTTGCCATAACGGAGGCAAACTCCCAAGCGTGAACTGGCTATTTGTAAACCGGCCCTCAAACGTGTCCTCTGCGCGCAGCACACGTCCATGGTAACACTTATTCTGTCGAAAGGCTGTCCTGTCTAGCAGTCTCACCAATCCCAGTTCTACAAAGGCAAGGCGCGAGATAAGTCCACAAAGTACTTTTGCTTCCGTGGCTCGCCCGAAAATTCCTCAAGTCGACGGAGCTCATATGAAAAATGTAGTACCCGCGCGACTGTCACGGCACAAACCACATCACTAACACAAATCATATATCCAAAGCAGATACGTTGACAATTATTATAACATGTGTGACATATGTGTTCAAAAAAATGTGAGCATATTCCCACACTTGTCACTTGCCCAAAACTATCACCATATCAGTTTGTGTGAGTATGTATTTGTATGACTCAAGGGAGATCGGCAAATTTGATCGGATGTGCTAATGTCAAAGCGAATGCCTCTATGTTTGTGTCTATGTCTTGAAGTCTATGTCTATAACTTTGACACATTTCACATGTGCTCACACACAAGAAGTGCAATTACCTTGGTATCAATCATGGACAAATCCCATGGCAAAAGACGAACTCTTCAAGCTACATCGTATCTAAGTCTTAGTCTAGTTATATTATAGTAAAGTTATAACAATAGTCAATAGTATATATGTTATATTACTTTGTTAGTCATATCAAATCTATCATATGATTCATATGATTCATATGATGATATGTGTTCATATGGGAGCCTAATCCATTTAGCTCAAAGCGGTCACGACGGTTTCATGCGGTGTAGCAACATACAGGCAGAAACGGTCAAGACGGTTCCATGCTATCCCAAAAGTTTGCCATTTTGGGGAACGGTTTCAAACGGTTTCAGACGGTTCTGGGACTATATCCGATTTTTACTTAAAACAGTCAGGAACGGTCTCGACGGTTGTTTGCTAATGGATGTTGGCTATGTTGACCCTTAGCCATGAACCCCACAAAACCCGAATCACTCAATATAATTAACTTTACTATCATCAATATGTTGCTTCTATGACTCTATGACTTTCAATTCCTTCTAAGTTATACATCATCGAATCATATATCATTGCCATTATATGATGTGATAATGATATCACTGTCACTGTCACTAAACTACAAAGTAATTTGTAGATAGGGCCAGGGCCACCACTAACAAAACACCTACCGTATCCGGATCGGTGCAGTACAAGTTAAAGGAAGAATGATCTTGAAAGTCCTGGATCCAGTTTGAACAAAAGAATGCCAGGCCAACAAGACTTCTGTGCAGCTGAAGCTCAGTAGTAATCTTCTTCCAAGTGATATCCAGGATAGATTTCTCTCTTGAACTCAGTGAATTCAAGTGCTCCTGCTTGACGGTCTCAGTGTAGGGGCATTGACCTGTGTTGGTGGCAAAGACTTGGGAGCTAGCATTGGAAACACCAACCTGCACAACTGGCAAATGCCAAATTGGAACCCCCACCTTCAATCCCAAGTGACGTCTTGGCTTCCTGGATCTCCAACTGGCTTTTCTTAGACAGCCTGCGCTCCTGATGGAGAAAACAAAGGGAGGTGAGCCAGGACTCCAGGACTGGGCCAAGCAAAAATCAGCTCCTGCCCAATGTGCCCCAAAATGTCTAGAAACCGTTCCTGGCTGTAGAAACCGTTCCTGGAAACCGTTCCTGGCTGTAGAAACCGTTCCTGGACCTCCAAATCCCTTTAATATGACAAAAACATGCTCAGGAACTGTCAACAAAATCCTAGAAACCGAATGTGTTTCATACATACTCGGGGCCCAAATTTAGGAAATATGGTTGTTACTTTCCCAAAAGAAGAAGACTAAGACACACACGGTCATACATAGTCATAGTCATATTACATATTGTCATACTTTGCTATAATATGCAATCAGAACCGGAAGAGTCACATCAACTTGTCGAATCACGCCGACGCTGAATTACACCCGATTTTAAAGTCCAGTCCTTGGTGCAGGCAGGAAGCGTCATCTGAGGTACATTCAGGCCAGCAACAAATCTGACCACATCTGAAACCCCCGCTTGGCTATGAATGCCTGGGAGGAAGCTTGTAAGAAAGTTGATCATGGACCTGAAATCATTCGGTCTCAGCAATGTAGTCTGCACGCCAATCACATACAAACGCAAGCGGCACTGAGGTGATCCAAAATCGCGGCTCCTCAAAGGCTTGTCAAGCATTGAATGAAGCGCATGTGGTGGCATGTGCATGCCGATTCAGGGCATGTGAAGAAAACATATATATGTTTCAAAGCCTGGGAAAGACAGCGTCTAAAAGCTAGATACAACATGAGATGAGAACGGTAGAACTTCCACTACTGTTTATCGCGGGCGGCCGACCCACCAATATTTCAATTCTTATCTACTTCAGGTGGCAAACTCTCATGATTACTCGGACTCTCATACAAATACATATACTCATTTAGCAGAGGTGGTGTTCAAGAACGGTACCGTACAGGGATAAGCTGAATTGACTTTTTCTGCTACTTATGTGTTGCCTACAACTTGCAACTGGTGGTGATGGACAAGTGACAATTGATTTCAATTGGTATAAATAAAGTTCAGAATATCATACTCATTTGCATGTCCCACCAAATCATTTCATATAAGTTCATTCATACTACTTATAACTACAACTCATAAGATAAGTGAAACAACAGGTTGAATCTATGACGAACAACAATGAACAAATATAGTCAGTTTACCCGTTTACTAATTCGGTCAATAGAAAGTTACACTGCGCTACATCATTGAGATACACAATTGTATCAGTTTCATGATGTGTAGTAGTGTGGTGTGCGCTTATTTAAGCAAAGCAGTGTGAGGTGTGTTCGGATTCCTGGTCCAAGCTGTAGCAAATGGATCCCCGATCCCCGCTTGACAACTGTAAAATCTACTGTATGTTTGTATGTATAATATAGTAGTATATATAGTATAATTATGTATATAATATATACATATGTAACTAGCTTTAGACTTTAGATTTAGATGAGATGCGATGTACTGATTTGCCAAAAGGATTTGAGCGGATGTAATGCACCCGAGACACCGAAGCCTCACTGCTTCAATGTGGTACTCTGTGCTGCCCTTGTTCAAGCCAAAATCTTCACCATCCTCCGAGCCAAGGAGGAGGTAGTCCAAAGGTGTCTGGCACGGGCCAATGGGCAGTACTGCAGTACAAGTTGCACTTTGATAAATCAACCTCTACACGCTACACCAGCAAATGATTCTGCATGGTTGGAACCAGCCAAATCAAGTCTCAAGACTTGTTTCCCAACGTCACAGCTGAACTTCTCAGCTGAACTGAAATTAGACAAATTCCGCAGAAACGTTTTCTCCGCACAAGCTTTCGCTGACACCTATACTAATGCTGCATAACTACTGACCGACACTTGAGACAAGTCAAGGTGGCCTTTTTTTGCAAGCAGTTGCCTTCGGCATTCCCTACAACTTGAGCAGCTCATTCAACAAGATGGTGGCCCCGTTTCGGATCTGCGGATCATTTGACTGACGTGGAAATTGTTCAATCGCACCTACAGCTTGATCTAGTCGATTTCCAAGGTCTGCCTTGACAAAGGAAGCAATACAGGTGCTATGCAAGTACCTCTCAGGCCGTGAGGTGCTCCAGAAATATGTAAAGCGCAGGCTGCCTTTGAGGATGGCTTGATTGCAGTGATAGCAACGACTTCTTCCTGTGGGTGCAAGGGATGCCTCAGATGTGAAGCCAACAGATTTGCTGAAGTGGGATCTGAAGTGGCCCTTGCGGACTTCAGGCTGGGCACGAGCAACATCTGCCAGCCGTGCTCTGTCATCAGCTTCTTCACAGTAGTCCTGAAAAGCACTCTGGGCAGCTGCCTCCTCCTCTTTGGCTGTGACTGTGGGCGGGTCATGATCCCTGACCAGCTCCTCTGAGCCATCACTCTCCCCCTCAGAAGGTCCAGCAGAAGCATTGCCTTCCTCAATCTCAATCTCATCATCATCGCCGTCCAGGTCAATCGGGGAGTCGGAACTTGACTCACATGATTCAGGATCTGACAGTGCCGGCGCAGCTGTAACATGCAAATGAGTGTCTTTGGGTTTGCTTGGCTCGGGCTTGTGTTTAGGCTCACATTTCCTTTTTTTGTATGGTCTTCTTTTCTTTGCCTCCATCTTGACACCAAAAGGCAACTTGACCTGCACCTTTTGATTGGGAGGAGACACCCCAGTCTTCAACAAATGCTCAACGGCTTTGCCGATGATGGCAACTTGTAAAAAGTGCACACCCCAAAGGTCAAACTCAAACCGGGTGGTGAAGACTGAGACGGCAATACCACGCAAACGACCACTGTGGGCTTCGACCAACTGATGAAAAGCTTCATGCGAAGTGATGAAAGTTGGCCTTTGCTCGCCAGAGCCTCTGTTGACCAAAGCAAATGATGAACCACTTTGACTCTGCATGCCAGATGTGCACGGCCAAGCTTTGGCAAAGACTTGAATCAAAGGCTTCTGACAAAGAACGCCAAGAAAATAATAAGCCTCCGTCACTTGGTCAGTTGATGACCCTGACCCTGCTACCTCACACACGGGCCTGCATCTCACCAGCGTGCCAGAGGGCAGTTTTTGAGAAGTGGTCAACTGTGCAAAGCTTCGGGCAAAGCATTTCACTAGAGTGTGGTGCTCATTTTTCTTGCAAAGGCCGCCGCCATACAAACCAAAGCATGTTTGAGTGTGAACATTCACATCGGGCATGGGAATCTGCTCAATAATATCCTCATCAGGCCTGCGGTGCAAAGAGAAAGCCACAGCAAAGTCAACTGCGGCCTGGGATGTTTGCAAATCAACCAGATCGCTCCTCACAGCCCCGTTCGCATCCTGTATGCTCAAGCCAAAGGTCGACCAAGAAGGGTGGCCAGCTTTGTTAGCGCTGTTGACATACAGCCGCTTCGATGAAATCCGGCTCAAATGTTTGCTTCCTGGCAGTGGGATCAGTCTAGAACATGAAAAAGTAATTGATAGGCCGCTAATAGGCCGGCGGCCGGCCCATCAATTGTTAGAGAAAATCAAAGTCCCTTGTTTTTTTCACATCAACTAACGACTATATAATATATAATATATTGTAATTATTGATAATTATATTGTATATATTTTATTAAATATAATATACATATGATTTGATTAGGATGTTCTTTGCTACTCATCGCTACACAACCACCCCCCAAAAAATAAATTACTGTAGACGATAGGTGATGCATTCCCCGAACTATGTTTTGGGGGGTGCAGCATGCAGCATATACCTATGGCCCCTGGCAGGCAGGCTCCTGAAAAACTGCAGCAGAAGCAGCATAGGGTGCGTCAAGCTAAGTCACATCATCACATCTGAATTTGTCAGTGGTTCAACTGCGGGTTACCGGTACCTATCGATTAGCTATTGATGATATGTTTTTATTTAACTCAAGCTTACTTTAAAAGTCTGTGTGACTGTTTGTTTGTCAGTCTGTCTTCAAAACTGAAAGTGTAGTTGTGTACGAGGTGAAGGCACCAGCAATCTTCTCCAAAGCAGAAGTGGACTGCTCTTCGGCTGGGAGATCTTCAGGTTGCTCAGGGGTGGCAAGCTCGTGGCATGGGGCTTTTCCAGGTTGCTTAAGCGGGCGAGTCTCCAACTCATCTCGGCAAGATTGTTGGTATGCAGCATCCAGTGCATATTGCTTTTTTCTCTCGCCGCTCAGTCTCCTCCATTCTGCCCCCAGATCTTTCATCACCTGCTTGTATTCAACAGCGGTCAGTACACCACGGGTTCGCATTTGTTCCTGCTGAAAGGCATTCCAAGCAGACATTCGTCTGCGGGACTTGCCAGCTGATTGAATCACACGAGCTTTGCGATTACACTTGGGCTGAATACCTTTCCTTCGGCCCAAGCGCTTCTGCATCGATGCTATCCCCCATCTGCTTGGCATGGTTGATTGCATGACCAATGTCTTCAGGTAGGCATGCTCACTAACCAATGATGCCAAAACAGAACATTCAGCGGCCGCAGCAGGAGCTTTTGATTTGCCCCGAAACTTGAACAAAGCATTCTGATTCTTCCCATGAAAGTTTTCCACTAAAGTGGTAGCCAAAGGTGTGAAGGTCGCGATGTCGGTCAAATGTCGTTGCAGCCTGACGTGCTGGGGTACGGGTACCATCATTCACTTCCAACCGGTAGCTGGTAACCGATATGATATAACATATAATATATGTTTACAATCTATTTACTTAGTAGTCCAGTCTAGTTATAAGTTTGCATAATTAAAAATTAGCATAAAATGATGATTATCGTATCTTTAATATTGTTGGTCCTAAGGAGTCCTAAGTTCTAAGCTGTTTCCAGTCCATATATAGTTCATACGGATATGGGATACGTATTCATACAGCTCATACGAATCCGGTGTGAGTTGTGGAAAAAATCGGGTACGGTATGTTATGTTACGTTATGTTTTGCTTTCCAGGCCACGCCGACAGAAAAGTTTTTAGATCAAACTAAAGGTGCCAGGTTCGGTAGTTAAGTTTAGTTGATTATATGTTAGTTGTGTGATGTCGTTCCAATATTGTTTTGTGATATGAATTGAGGTGTGAACTGATATCAGATTGCTGCATCTAGACAGACTAAAAGCCAAAAACCATCATTGCAGCTGCATCATTGAACCTGCGCTGCTCCGAATCAAAAGAGGAAGGCAAACTTTATCTACTGTGTCTACGACTACCTGACTACCTGCTTCTTGAGGGCCCTTAAGGTTTCCGTGCTTCAGTGCTTCCTTTCAACTTTGCTGGCAAAGGAGGCACAGAGGGGAATATTCGGAATGCTGCAATGCTGAATGCTGAATATCGGAACCATTCGGACTGCTTCGGACTCTGTATAGAGCCGATCTAACGCAGCCAGGAAACTCCTGAATGTAGGCCTGAACTTCTTGATCAAATGCTCCCGCAATGTCCAAGGATTGCAAAAGAGGAGTGCTGAAAGCAACATCGACACACTCAGGGCACTGGCGCATGATTCTCTGGAAGCCCGTCAATTTTTGGACAAACGTTTGAGGATCGCAGGTGGTCAATGAGAACATCTGGTTGGGGAAACATCGAGCTGGATGGCAACATCGAAGCCACGTGTCAGCCATTCCGAATACAATGAGTTCAAAACAAGTCTGAATCACTGAGGGATCCGAGCAACTCCCACAAATTTGTTGTAGCTGGCAGGTCTTCACATGCTTGATGAAGTCGGCAATGATGTTGTCCCCAAAAGTTCCATCAGCCCACTGCAGGAAAAATACTTTGGACTCTTCCTTGAGTTCTTGCATGGTGGAATTTTCTGGCAAATCATTGAAACGCATTCTTTTCAATACCGTTGTCCGCTTCAGAAGCTGGTTCACTGCTGTGTCCAAAGGCAGCATCAAGAAGTCGACACAATTGACAATCACTGGGAAGTTTGGTGATTGAAAGGTTTCAGTGACGAGGCGGAACCTCTTTGCATTCTGCTCGGCATATGATGAATCTTGCTGGAGCATTTCTTCAACAAGACGGCCCAACTCTTGCGCATCGCCTCCGCTTGGATGCTGGGCAGCCTGTGTCCACTTGTTTATCGCCTCCAAGACCTTGTCAGATTCACCTTAGTCAGCAGCAGTGGAAGACAAAGGAGACCACACTTCAAACATGTACTGAACAGTTCAAAGTCCGGTTTGCCAGTTTCTCGGTTCTGAATTGTTTTTTTGGCGCTATTTTATTTATGCGGTGCGGTGTTACTAATGGTATGCCGTATGCCGCAGTATGCCTTTTCAATTCACTAACCTGTTACCTAAACTGAACTCGTTGACAAGGAAACGGAAGCAAAGCAATCAAAACGGAAAAAGCACGGCCACCTGCATTGTTGCATCTACTCTACCTTTAACCTGGTCCCTATGGTTCGCGTGACAAAAACAAAACTGGTTTTGAATTTGTAACAATCTGAAGGACACTTGACGCTGGGCATGGCTTGCAACGTCCTTGGCAAAATCCGGTGTAAAATGAATCCATCGCGGACGAAGTTGTTGGCTGATCCAGCATGTTTCCATCGATACAGTAGGGGAACACACATGTGACTGAATAGGTCCAAGAAGGAAGCGATCAGCGTCGATAAGGCTTCTTCCCTGCCACCGGGACAGCATGTCCCTCCTGTGCACCAATGCACTATTTTATCGCTTTCGGGATCACCGTTATCTTTCTCAATGTGCTTCCACAATACTCTCAAGCGCCTTGACATTGTTGTCGGGTTCCTGCCACAGTATCCCATGAAGCCGGTGTCTGTGTGCAAACGTAGCTGTTGAACCTTCATGTCATGCCAGCGCTGGACATCATTTGGAAGATTACCAACGATGATAAATTCAAAGTTGGACTGAACCAGCTTGGACATTGCTGCATGAAACTTTTGCCGGAAATTGTGCCCCTCGAACAAGTGCCCGAGACGCACCAGGCAGCTGAAGTAGCCTTGAAACCCAAGAGCCACGTTCTTGCGTGTCAATGAAACCTGGTGAATATTACACAGTATTTGCAGACAGCAGGATTGTGTGCTTGCATCTGGCCCCTTCTCCTGCTCATGAATGCACTGAGAAAGAATCTTGAAGAGTGCACTGTTCGCCTTAAGCGCGTCCCCTACAAAGACCACTGTGCGCCGTGCAACATTCCGAAACAAGTCAGGCGGAATGCCCCAACACTGCCACCTCCAGCCGACATAGTTTGAGAAACCAAGGATCCAGCCCATGAATGCTCGGTAGAGACCAACTGTGTCTGCGCGGTCCAAAGGCACAATGGGCTGGTGCAAGTTGAACCAGGTCAGGTCACACTCACTCTCTGAAGCTGAGCAGGTTACAACGTGCTCCTGGATGTTGGCCATGACAGTTTGAATTTCAGTAGAGCCACGTGCGCCGCTACCGAATTTCATATTGGCATCATCAGCAGTGTGAATACTGATGCAATGCGGCCTGGCACTTGCTGAGGATGACTCCCAGTGAAACACTTGCTTTACTCGTTGGGCAACAGCTTTCAAGTAATAAAAGACAGCCCTCCGTCTTCCATTGGATTCATCACATTGCAACAAGGAGGACGCAGGACCCATGTCTTCAAGCGGGTCCCACTGTGTGGCATCGGAAGCCAAGAACTTCTGTTGGAAAACTTGTGTGGCGCTGGCTTCTGCCTCTACTTGACTGTTGGCATTTGCCATTGCTGCTCTCTCAATTTTTCTCGCTTGTCTGGAAAGTAAGCTTGCTGCACGAGCCTTGGCTGTCTTGCAGAAACGACGGAGCTTCTGCACTGAAGCGTCATCGCCGTCATCGCTGTCATGGTTTGGGGAATTCTTTGGCTCTGGCTCTGATGCCCACAGGTCAGAGAGCGGCATTACGGCCAACCAGCAAAACCCAAAAGCAATGGTCAACGGTATGGCGCGCAAAAGCATTGGATGCTTGGACTCTGGTCCACGGGCACTTTTACCATTTCAAAACTAAATCGTTTGCGGTCTCAATCCTGCTCTATGCTAGGCCGTGCCTTACATACCGTACCTATCAAAGTTTTATATAATGGTTTCGCTGTTGCATTGATTGGCTCTATACAGTCTTTACAGCACACCATACGACGAACATAAACCGACCAAATGATTCATGGTCCATAGTCCATACCGGCACCGTATTGATTGGCCTAGTGATGACCCAATGTCTCAAAGACTCAGAACTCCCGGAACTAAACAGATGAGACATCATTCATACACTGCTCAGCCTCAAGCTTGCTGCAGACAGAAGGTAGGCTCAGTGTCAAGGCGAAGCTAGTGTATCGAACGGAGTGATCGACTGTGAAGAGCAGCAAAGGAGGCCAACAAAATCATTCCAAAAAATTCGGAATGAATGACTCAATAAAAGAGCCCTTGTTCCACGCGGCTGCATCATTTGAAGGTCCATTGCCGTTGCCCTTTACCAAACACTTCAGCAATGCTCTGCCAACCCACGCGCCTTGTACTTCTCAAAGAATGGCCCGGTGCACTGTTCAGGCCAAGGGTCTGCAAATGTAGAAACCTCAGGTGATGTGGGACATCATGCTCAGATAAGTCACAGGTCATTCAGAGTAATCCAATCCTGCAAACTTTGCTTGATTGAGTGAATTGATATCATATTACATTTCTTAGACTTAGGTCCCTAAACCGAAGTTACAAATAAGAATTGCTAAAACTGGAGGGTCAGTAAAACACTGCAGAGGGATCAATTTGGCGGTTCCCTTTGCCCATGCTGCTGTTGCTGCTTTCAAACAACAGAACAAATCCTAAGTAAAGACTCCCGCGGTGGCTACGACTCTGGTCTGGTACAAAAGTCTTTGCAGCTACTGCAACAGTAACAGTAACGTACCCCGTCTAAATTCCTGATAGCCCCACAGCCACAAACATAGAGCCAACTTCCGCTACTTTAAGCCTTGGCACCTCAAGTTGTCGCTGGAGAAGCTTCCCACATAGTCTCATAATTTGAAGACGATTTATTGTCATTGTTCTGATTCTTATTATGTTTCTTCTTCTTTACACTGGGACCGGGACCTTCAATATTCATCCAACTGGAACCCCTGGAACCCTCCTCAACAAAACACCTGGCAATGCCAATTCAGCTGAACTGAGAGCCCGTAAACGCAAACGCGGGGCTTGCTCAAGCACAAACGATTTTGGCCGTCGGTCACGAATGCGACGGCAAGTCTCCAAAATTGGCCGGGTGCTGCTGTCATTTTTATAGGGGTGATAGTTGGAAGATCGCCGCTTTACATTCAGCTTGCTGAATGGCTGACATGGCGTTCCGGCCACGTAGATGTCCTGTCACGAGTAGTCGGCAGTCTGGTTGGAGTTGGCGCGGAGCACAACATAGGTTAGGAGTTAGGAGTCAGGATTCTAGGAGTGAAAAGATCGGAGACTGAAGACCTGAGAGAAACGCGGACACCTGTAACTGCCTGTAACAAACATCACGCCAGTAGAGCCAAAGCCAGAGCTGTAGTGAAAAGTTTGACATGGAACTCAATCGTGAATCATAGACCCATAGATAAAAATAAGTTCACCAAGACTTGGCCAAAAACTAAACTCATTCACAAATTCATTTATACAATATATAATATAATATAGTCACAGTCTAGGCCCTATATAATCATTGTCATCGTCATTGTCAAACACATTATGCTGCCATTAGTGCTTTGCAACGAGTTCGGAGCTGAACAAACCAACCTGTGACAATCACTATAAATACCAAAAAGTCATTGGATAACAAAAATGCGGAACGTGGGAGACATGTTGGAAGGTCTCGTGAACAAGAACTTGACAAACAAAAAGTATTCTAAGTTTGCTGCAGTTTGCCTTTAGTTGCAACCCCTGACTCCTCGCTGTCACCCTTCATCTCACGTGGACGGCAGTACTCATTGTGTAAAACACAATGGCCACCCTGGTGGCCACCAGCGCAATCGTTCCAGAGATGATCGCCTCAGATGCTCTGGCATGCCTTCACATGCCTTGAAGGAGGTTAGCTTTTCTTCTTGAAAAGGAACTGGCCATTCCGATGGCCCACAGCGATCTAGTTCCCAGTCTTGCAATCAACAATCAAAACTTGAAGTAGTAGACAATCTTGGTTAGACGGAGACGGGTCGGCTAGAAAAAAGATGGGGTGTCTGGAAGAAACCACTCTTCAGGATGATGCTGATTGATACTGTTACTGAGACTCGGACTAACCCAGCCTCCATTGACATGCAACCCTTCTCCCCCAATCTCCCCTGCTTGCAATATCAATGCATAATATAATATATCGATTATCGTCTCCCGTATCACTGATCACTGTATTATCACCAGGACCGCCAGGACCATATCATTCTAATTCTACTACTACTACTACGCCACGCCACCGTACACTTCTACTGTTACTGCCGGGCAAAAAGCAACTATGTTGTGTCTCGTGTCAATCACACCTTGCGCCACCTCACATACATGTGCACCGCAATGTGACAATGTGCAACAAAATGATTCTTAGCTTCCTCATGCTGCCAAAGGACAGGTGTAATTTGACATGATCATTTGCTGTGTGCCGCTGTGGTTCTCAGAAGCGATGATCTCCTCAAACTCCGTCGCTGTGGCGTCACACAAGTCTTTCCTGAGCAAAATTCAGATTGAACGATGAGCTAGTTTCAGGGTTTTTACGCTAGTGCGTGGATGTTCGTTCTGACATGTGACACGCCATGTTACTTCCAATTGAGGAGTTTGGACCAATTGGAAAGCCACAAAGACTTACTGACTCTGACTCAGACTGATTATCAAAACACACCCTCCCTCCTCGATAGCTGACCTTCACCTTGAATGGTTCTAGTTCTTGCGTTAGAGACTATGATTATGATTCATGATTACCATTGAGTTCATCAAGTGTGCAAGCAAGCTGCATGCAGTAAGCGGCAGTCCCTGCGCCAGTGCAAGCCGTAGACAGTACATACCTTGGATGGTTTTGGCTAAGTTTGGGAATCCGGAATCAGTGACAAGTCTTGGCGGGGGGCACAATTTGAACATCTAGTCCGTCCAGGTCCAGTCGAGTCAAATATCTAGCTGCAGTCCGCTTCTATGCTTCTAGCTCAACTCTGTCTATGTCAGTATATAGTATATAGTATAACATATATAACTACTGGCTCAACTGACCGTGACCGATATTGAAGTCTCTGTTTCCAAAAGCTAAAAGTATGCTTTCAAGGCCGTGCTACTTCTTGTGACCAGGTGGTGGTGAAAAGGCATGGGGTGGTATTTGGCCTGCTTGGACATATAAGTCGGCGCACTGAAACATGGTCAGCCCTCCTTCAGAACTCTCTTCTTCCCCTGCGCTCTCGTTCGCATCCTGGACCCTTGAATGAGCTGATGGTGACGTCAGAATATCCCACGAAGAAGATCGCTCCTGGATTTTTTTCTGGGCGTGGGGCCAAAGTGGCTGTGCTCATGACTTGTTCATTCTTCAATGTTGAATCTTGATGCCCCTGGCCCCTGGCCTGTACCTGACTTCCAAAAAAACTAAATGTAAGCTTGAATCTTCGCCCGCCTCATCCACATCTTCATTGTCAGGTGATTCTTCAGCATCATTTTCATCCTCAGGCAAATTGCTAATTGCTGATCACCGATCACAATTACTATCAATCACTTCACACATGGTTATGTGTAACTTTATGTGCACAATGACTTGGAGAGAGTAAATCTTTATTGACGGAAGATTAGGATTAGATGAACATTTGGAGAGGAGACAATAGGGCCGGCAGGGTATATATTTTTGGGGACAGCCAAGATTCCTTTTCTGGCTTTGGCCAATCTTCTTCTGAGAGTAGTGCTCCACCAGATTCGCTTCGCGCCATCAGCGGAAATCCGGGAAAGGTTCGTGGCAACACCCCAACTCTGAAGGGGCGAGGTGAGATTTGATATTTGCATCATGTCATGTGTCTTGTGCCATCATGTGACATGTGGCACCGCTCTGTCTTCAAGTTCAAGAGCCGGTTGTTAGCGGGAGGCGGGAGGAAGTGCGAATGAAGCCAGAGCATTTGCTATCCACAGGATTTAGCTCCAAAAGCTGCGCTCAACCCAAAAAGAAAGCAAGAAACACACACCCTCCACCTTTTCAGGAATACAGTATACAGTATACAGTGTACAGCTTCTAGGAAACCACAAGATAGTTCCCATAAAAAAGAATACAGTTCCCACTGTATAGACTATAGTTCCAACACTACCTGTTGGATACGTCACAAACCATTGAATAAACAGGGAATCACTGGTTATAAAACTTCCTGATGAACCAGTTCGCAAGCAGGCGGGTATCATCCCCATGAGATTTCCGGCTCAGTATGCCGGCACACAGGAGCACATTGTGATCTTTGGGGGCCTCATGACAAACGCATTAGAAGAGCTTCGGACTCGCCAGCTTCGAAAGAAACGATTCCCACTACGGTTGCTGTCAAACTCCTTCTGTACCGGTCTGAGATCGAAGTTGAGTGGCCCAGAATCGTTGCAAGTCCTTTGCGGGAAGTGGTGCAATTCGTCCCTAAGTTGAAGATCTGCCCAGGTGCAAAATGTGGAGCAGAATGTCCGTACTCTCATGCCCCAATTGGGGAAAGCATCGAGAATGTCATCTTGGAGGTCTGGAATCGCTCCTTCCTCCAACTCTCCGGCCAAAAGAGCAGTCCTGCGCAGGCTGACCTCTTCACTGTTTTCCTGAGGATGCATGATCACATGCTCGATGCGGTGGTTACCACGATTGCGCCAGGCCTCTACTTCGAACCTCGGCAGGAAGATCCACGCCTCCACAATGACAAATACAAGATCATTTGGATGCCAAAGAACACCTTGAAGCAGTTGATGCACATCACCAAGACTAATCAATATGCGATTGGGATTGCCCGCCTCAAAGAGCGCCTCGGGCGAGCAGGCGATGAAGACAAGGCATGGTCGGAATTACGCCCTGGCGAGACTCTTCACAAGTGCAATTCATTTATGAGCTCTCTCCGCTACCACACGGCACCAGCCGAGCAACCATGGTGAAGCTCTTGGAAGGATGGAAGTGGAAGGCTCGACCTCTACAAACGGGCAAAAGCACAATGCACCACACTTCCTGGCGAGTCGGCACAGATGAACCACCACCGCACACAGTTCTCTTCGCCTTTGATAGCGACATCATCGCCACTTTGTGCAAAGATCTCAAGACGAATCAGGTTCTACCGCGAGTAGTTGCCTCAACCAGAACGACAGCACATATGCAGGCTCGTCCTGCGCCATCCACTGCTCCCAGCTCTTCCGCCTCAGACCCCTGGACTACAGGCGCTGATCCATGGAGCAACTATGCCAGTGTGACTCCGGCCACTCTCCACACCTCGAAGGACTTGAAGTACATTGACAAGTTGCAGGGCACCCTGGAGCAATCCTTGAAGCAGCATATCGATCAGGAGCTAAAGAGTCGACCCACAGCTCCGTCAGAATCGACTGCTTCTGGCACACAGCTTACCCAGCTTGAGGCTACTGTTCTTGAACTCCGGGGCCAGAATAAGCAGATGCATGTCTGGTTTCGGCAGACAGCTGACCGGATTCAGGCAGTTGAACACAACACTGCCCAGCAGACCGCTCGGAACAAACAAGACATTCAAACCCTTCGAGATGAAATGCAGAACACACTCGGGTCTTCGGTACAGACTCTGCAGAGTACGATGAAGAAGTTCCAGGCCGACATGATGCAAGACATTCAGGCCAACATGGAAAAGCAGAGTTCTCAGCTTGAAGCGCTTCTCGAGAAGCGCGCTCGCCAAGCTTGACTATCTCCCAAGGGGAGAGGCCGGAGGCCTGCGTCTCCGCCGATCAAGGACGCTATGGCCTCAACTTCGCATTGGCAAATTCTTCTTTCGCTGGCTTCTTTGGTCCAGCTCACATGGGGAAGCGCGACATCTTTCTGGATGTCTGCGCATTTTGGTGTTGGATTCCAGCGTGTGGTTGCTTCTCCGACACTGCCTTATCTACACAGCCCTCACCTTCCCTGCGATGAGGTGCCCAATCCTTGGCTCAGCCACACTGGAGATAAGCAGCGCGGCATCCTTGGATGACTGCGAACTAGCTAGGGTGCTGCTTTCCTCCAATCAGAATGGATCCTCCCGATTTCACCTCTTAACTTTTCGCTACGGGGAGGCTCGTCATCCTGGACCTCATTTGGATGCTCCTTCGGAGATCATGGAGGTCACGATTAGCATATCCAACCCCGCCGGCGTGAGAAACAAAGAGAAGCTCATTTTAGATGCTGGCCCTGGCATTTGGACTATGGCAGAGACGCATCTTACTGAGGCTACCTCCAAGACACGCGGATCTACGCTTCAATGGCTCGTCGACACCAACGCCAGATCCGATGTACATTTGGGGCCCCCGCGCCTATCAGACCCAACTCACTTTGGGCAGGCAGTTGGACTGGTGTCAGCCATGTCTCGGACTATCCCCAACGACCTCTGGCCTTGGCATGGCCTGAAGAACAATGGAACTCCGCTCGAGTCATGGCTACACAGCACTGGATTCATGCTCTCCCGGTGATTGTTGGCACCATCTATGGCTACTCGCCCGGACCAACTTGGCCTAAAGCTCGGCGTCTCACGGACATGCTGTTTGAGGTCTTTACTCGCGAAGTGGTCTTTGGTGCCTCTGGAGTCCGGATTTTGACTGGTGATTTCAATGCAGATCCCGGTGAACTGCCACAACAGCTATATGGAGACAGCAAGGCTGGGTTAACCTGCAGGACCTGGCGGAGGCCAGATGGAACCACACCAAGCTTCCTACTTGCAAGAATGCTACCGAACGTGACCAGATCTGGCTTTCTCCGGAAGCTGCGGTGCTGGCAAGTGGAATCTGGACTGACCAAATCTTTGTGGATCACTTGACCTTAGGTGTCAAACTTCAGGTTCCTCATCGGCCTCAGATGGTACACCGATGGCCACGTCCCAGTAAGCTCGAATGGACAGCTGAATTACAGAATTTCCGGCATGCTGATGCCTCTTCTTTTTCGGCTTCACCTCCTTCGGATCCCACAGCAAGAATGGCTAGCTGGGCCAGGGCTTTTGAATCTGACTTGCAGGCTTTCGCCCAACTTTCGTCCCTACCTCAGCGCTGTCGTGGACGGGCCCAGAGACTTGATCCTGTTTGCCTCCCTGAGAGTGCACCTACGGCACATGCCAGCCGGCATGGTGAGATCAAGCTGCAATATGATTTGACGGGCCATGCTGTTACGCAATGGTTCAAACAGGCGAGACGATTACAGAGCCTGCTTCAAGCAGTTCAAGCAGCCAAAGCCTCGGACACGGCCATTGAACACCGTATCTCTTAAATTCGTCAAGCGCCTGGATTTTCCCCGGATTTTGTGCAGTGGTGGGCTCGACGCTTTCCTCTGGCTGAAGCGGGTCCACTTCATCTTCCGCTACAAGTCCCGGACCAAGCTGCCCTTGACTGTATATTTCGGGAGTTTACCGCACACTTTCGACAAGTTCGAGAGCTGGCATCAATCGGTTCGACAGACACAGTTGAAAGCTAAGTATGATGGGCCCGCCAAGCAGATTTTTCGTGATCTCAAGAAGACGGTCAAGAACACTCCGGACTCCTTTTTGACGGCCTCATCCTTTGAGATTCTGGCGGTTGATCCCGAATCTGATCAAGTACATCTCGAAGAAGTTGTTTGTCCGCATGCCAGCTCCTATGAACTTGACGGACAGAAGATTTGCCCTGCCAATTTTGATGGGGTGGTTCTGACTTTGCCTCCCGGCACCAATGCCGAAGTGGGCTCAGTGCTCACACAGCAGGTTTTCTCCCGTGAGATAGCGGATCTCCATCAAACACTTATGGATTTCTGGCGACCTCGTTGGCAAAAACAAAGCAGCATTCCGCCTGAACAATGGGTCAGAGTTGTCTCCTTCACTCGTGCCTACATGCCTTCGCTTCAGCTACACCTTGCACCGCTTACTTTGGCGGACTGGCGTGCGGCTGTTTCGCATATGAAGCCTACGGCAGCAAGGGGACCGGATGGTTTTGCAAGAGATGACCTGTTGTACATGAGTGATCATCATCTTGATCAACTTCTTCGACTGCTCCATGATGTTGAGCAAGGGCATACTCCATGGCCGAGACAACTCTTGCTGGGATTTGTTATCTGTATTGCCAAGCGAGATGATGCTCATACAGCAGCAGACTATCGCCCCATCAACCTGTTCTCAGTCATTAATAGAGTTTGGAGCAGTCTTCGAACTAGGCAAATGCTCACGCTGCTTCCTCCATACTTGGACCACGGCGTCTATGGATTTGTGCCTGGATGTGAAGCTGCGCAGGTCTGGGCCTTCTTACAAGCTTCTTCCAAGACAACGCTGATCTGGTTGGGCTCAGTGCTGACCTCCAGAAGGCCTTCAACAACATCGGCCGTGCTCAGCTTCAATTTTGGTCAGAGCATCTTGGTCTCCCAGAGGAATTGCGTACTCCATGGTTCGGCTTCCTTGGCCACTTTGAGAGAAGGTTTGACATTAGAGGATGTGTCAGCCAACCGCTGCTTTCGACCGAGGGATTGCCTGAAGGTTGTCCCCTTTCCATCATCGGCATGTTGCTTCTGAACTGGGCCCATCACACCTATATGAGGCACTATGCACCTGCTACTATCCCGAGGACGTATGTTGACAACCTCACTCTTTTGGCTGCTCGCTCCTCGGAGCTCATGCATGGTTTTGCATGCACTGCGGTCTTCTACAGAACATGGGGCCTTGACATTGATGACGACAAGACCTACACTTGGGGCACTACTACCGCAAGCCGTGCAGAGCTCAGATTGCTGCCGCACCAACATTCTCTTGCACATCGAGAGTTGGGTGGCTTTCTTCAGTTTACACGTAAGAAAGACTACTCTCCTCTTCGTGAGAGACTGCTGCAACTGCTGCAACTGGAAGAGTGGTGGACTCGACTTGCCAAGTCCCCGGCACCATTTCCTCACAAGCTGCATGTGCTCCACTCCAAGTTTTGGGCCGCTGGGCTACATGGCACCACTACTTGCTTGGCGCCGGACACCCTCTTGAATTTGTTCCCCCTTGTCCTTCGCTTCATCGGCTACGACATTCGCACGAGCTAGTTCCTTGGGCGCCCTGGGATTTTCTTTCTCGCCGCACCACTTGTGATGTACAACATTTGTTCACGGACGGTTCATGCTTTGACAACCTTTGCTCTTACACTGCAAGGGCCTCTTGGAGCGTGGTCAATGCTACAACCGAAGATGTCCTTCACACTGCACCGCTGTCTGGACCCCGACAGTCCATCGATCGCGCAGAAGCCTCTGCGCTCTTGGTAGCATTGCTTTGGGCTGAGGACACTGGAAGCCACGTGAAGATTTGGTCTGACTCCCGCAGTTCGGTCGATATTGCCACTGGGGTTCTGGCTACAGGTACCCTGGGGGGTGTTAGCAAGAATGGGGATCTCTGGCAACAATTCCTGGAGGCTGTACTCCGGACGCCACACCTGACTAAGGCGATGCAATGGATCCCTTCCCATCAAGCAGATGACTCAGATGATCCTTTTCTTGCCTGGTGTCGACGCTGGAATGATCAGGCGGACCGCGCAGCTGTCATGACCAATCAACAACGTGGTGTCCAATATGATCGATGTCTCGGCGATATTCGCTATTCCTTGGCAACATGGAAAAGAGAGTTGCATCTTCTGCGTGGGTTCTATTTGAGCGCTGCCCGTGAAGCTGGAGCAGTTTCTACAGCTCAGCCACAGACCTTGACGGCAGATGAGGTGCTAGATACGCTGCAGCCTGCGACCGTTGACAGCCTCATTGATCATACTCCACTGGGTGCTATGGCCTATCAGTTTCATGACAGCAAGCAACCTGCTGGATTCACGCGCAGACTGCTGGATGCCTTGATCGAGTTTGATCAGCCGGATGGCGATGTTTGGATGATCACCGATGTCGAGTTGCGCTGTCTTCTTGCCAATGAGGAGCATTTTGGCTTCCCGGTGTGGAACTCCTCCAGCAAAGGCTGGGAGTTTCGCGCCTATTCTTTGCACTTTGAACGCTATTGCGCGCATCCTGAAGGTCATCTCTGGTGCCGTTCATGAGATTGTTAATCATTTTGGTTTGAGTCATTTTCGTGTGACAGACATTCGGGATGACCGCTTAGGGCTTTGCACGCCAGTTCGTGGCCTGCGCATCCGCCTCGCCAGGCAAACGCGAGCGAGAGCGGTGGCACGTTTGCTCGACTTCACCAGAAGGCGAGCGGCGCGAAAGGCCGCGGACTTCAGCCGTCCCTTCTGAAAGGGCTACAGACTGAGGCTGCCGTTCTGTTCACACTGAGCGCAGCACTCACCGACCGAAAGTCCGAGATAAAGGTTCGGGTTTCATTAACATTGATGTGACCAGGTGATTTAAATTTGAGTCGGAACAGCCCTCGAAATTCACATGAGTTCATGACTTCACTGATCCACTCTTCAAACCATTCTCGAGATTTTGCAGGCTCTGCGGGAAAAAAAGTGGGCATAATTATCAACCGGTTCATCCACCTCAGCAAAACTGCGCGCTCGAACTTCGCTGGGAATGATTTCAACGCACCCGTTTTTGGCTGCCAAGGAACCCAAAACCATACCTCGGAGGCAGTGGATAGGCGGCCGAGTACGCAGCCACAGATTGACCCACCTCTGGCGGCTCAGTATACACAGCGGTTGCGGATGGTTGGCAGCGTTCTTCGAAAGCTAAGACGCCTTCAAGAGTGAATAACCCCTCAATTTTGAAATGTCCACCTTTATGCCTGCAAGTGCATTTAGATTCTAGGTTTTATCAGCCAGGGTTTGTTGCGCTGCCACTTTGATGGCTTGTGGAAAGCACTTCCAAAGCTGCAAAACGAAAAGTGAGATATCACACAACTGAGGTGCAGCAATTGTCGATAGCAGCGCAGACGAAACAATCTCGCGCGGCTGCTCCACGCTGATATAAGATCCTGAAAACACTGCAATCATGAGAACGAAGCAAGTACGTTGCGCAAACTTGTTGTGATATTTGGTGAATGGGTCTTCTGGGTTGAACCCGCACGGAAACTCATTTGATCTCACCTGAGGTCGGCGGAAAGTGCCATAGCTCAAACAAGGCACTCCAGCATGCCACTCGCGAACAACTCCTCTTGCAGGTCAGAACAACACAGACAGCGGATCGACGCCGTCATGGCACCGCAAACCTACTTCACTGTGCGCAGTGGACCAGTTTCCGCTACCTCGAAATTTTTCACAACAATCAAAACCAAATCCTTCAGCGAGCGGTGGTGGGATATTAAAAGAAGTGGGAACACAGCTGGATGAAGGCTTAATGGGTTCTGAAACAAAAGCTTGGGAGCCAAGTTCTTCAATGCCGTGTTCAACAAGAGTTGCAGAAGCAGGGTTCAAAAGCTTAGTGTAAAACCCACTTTGCTCAGTGTGCCGCGCCAAAATTCTTTAGACGCATGACCGCCCAGATAAGCATAGCAAACTGCCACGCCGGCTGGCGAAGCGTCAGTGCAGTACACCTTTGGATCATGTCTTGCTCGCATGTCGCTCTGAGCCATACAGCCCAAGGATGCCAACAGTTGGAGCTCACACAAAGTTTGTCGCCTCAAGCAAAACACTTCATCTTGTGATCTACCCTTCCCCTCGTTGAAGACACTGCTCATAATGGCAAAAAGGGGTCGCCTAAAAAGCAAAACGTGGATCCAACAACCCACCACCATAGAAAGTAGCCGATTGGCGCAAGTACCTTTGTGAACAATTGCCATGGACACCAGGGACAGCAACGCAATGCGGCTTCGAGGAGCCATGGCCCGACCAGCTAAACCGTCGAAATCAGCACCGATGATAATTCCGGAGGTCTCATCCCTACGTTGCTTCTTTTCCTGTTGGATCAAGCCAGCTTTCTTGTAAGCCATAGAAGCCGTCGCAAACACTTCCTATCCCTGAGAGGGGGTTTTTCACGGATCTGGGAAATAGGCAACTTTTGAATCCCTACATGGTCATCGATGGCAAGGAGCTCAACAAAATCTGTCCTAGGGACAGCAACTCGATATCTCAACGTCTCATCACTCCTAAGAGCACCACAAAGAAACTTTAAAACATTCGAGTGAGCTTGTTGGGCAATCTCCACTGCCATGTTGTCTCTCATTACAAGGGTTTGAAGACAGATGAGGAGATCTTGACCCTCAAAGGAAGGATGGTAACATTTGAAATGTTTGACTTCCGAAGACTTAAAAACCACACGCGGGTTTTGGCTGCTCTAGATTTTCCAGCAAGAGTTGGCACCTTCCAGGAACACCGTCTTCATTGCGTTCAGGGCTGGATCGACTAGTGGGTCTTGTTGGACTTCATCCTGCATTGCCCACGTGCAGGGTGCGAAACTGCTTGACGGCAGTTTCCACACAGACAGCGTCAGTCACGTTTACGCCACTCGGGAGGCAGAGTGCTACCTCGCCACGGCTCAGCGAAGATGGCCGCCGCTGCTGTAGGAGCGGCCCTGTGCTGCACGTGCAATGTCGAGCAACCCAGGGGAAATCTCAAGCCACGCCAGAAAGCCTGGTGAACCCTCAGGGACGACGCCAGAGGACGCGTGTCGGTATCAGCCTATACTGCGCAAGCCTGCCCCTTCTGTCAGTCTCTGGAACCAGCAAATGGGGAGAAATCACAGCAGCTGCCACCACACGCAGGAGGCTAAGTACAGCCCGACGACACGACACCAAGAAGACTAGAGCGCCCAGAATGAAGCCAGCAATGAGGGACCAGCAGGCGAGGATGAAGCACAGGCCTATGGCTCCCCAAGGGCAAGAAACCGGTGAACTGGTGAAATACCGGACTTCCCTGAAAAAATCGGGCAACCACCAAGGCACCATAAACGCTCGATCCCAAAAAGCTGCTTGAGCGAGTCGACTCAATACTGTTCACAAGTGATAGGAAGCATGTATGCAGGCAACCAACTGTGATTGAAGGGCAGGCAACCAACTCCATTCAACAGTTTGGGTCATTTCTCCCTGCAAGCGTATCACTTCATGTCACGCCACCTCCCCATCAAATGTTGCAAAACCTTGCATTTTTCATATGGTTTTGGTTGTAGTTGTTGTATGGTTTTAGTTTGGTTTAAAAAAAAAAGTTTTCTGCTTTCAAGGGGGGGCAGGGCGGCCGAATCTGAAACATCCACTTTGCCTCACTTGCTGTTGGTGTTTAACTTGAGCTTATTTTTGTATCTTTTCTCCCACCACCACTTCCCCTCCAAACACACCTCAGGACTCACGATGCCGGATGCGCAATTCTGTTCCCAAACAAAAGAGCTCCCCGCCCCCGAGCTAAAGTTATGGCAGCCCCGTTTTGACACACCAACTCATACACGCCCCTCAGCACCTCCAGTGCGGGCGCATCTTTTTGCAGGCCGCGGCAGCTAGGAACGGGTCAAGAAGCTACAAGCTAACAAGTAGCTCGATGTAGCTAGTGTAGTCCGCTACTAGGTTGGAGGCCGTTCTGGAGGCCGCTACTAGGAAGCTACTAGACGGATGCAGGGTTAAGGGAGCCTGCCGTAGCCTGACCGCACGAGAAGCCTTGAAGAATCCTTGCCCGTACCCTGTGTTCCGATCATTAAGTGGCAGCATCTTACTGATAGTTTCTTCTCACACGGCGCCCCCAACAAAACAATTGCTTTATTTCCAAAGTTCATGTCTTGTCACGCTACTAGGGGCTCCTGGCATCGCTACTAGGAGCAAGGACGCTATTAGGGGCTCCTGGCATCGCTACTAGGAGCAAGGACTCTACTAGGAACAAAGGGCATTTCATTCCCCCGTCTATCTTCTTCATCTTCTCTGTCCTCTCCAGGGCACGTCGCAAGGTCGCAAACGAAAGAGCCAATACACGCAGTCACCTCGCAGTGGTGCATCTAGCATCATTTGGGAAGCATTCTTGAAGGGAGTAGCTAATAGCAATGGCCTCCACCTAGCAGCTGCTACACATTGAATGACATTGGACATTGGCATGTGCCACTTGCGGACGTGAAGCTGAACAACGACCGACAGTGATTTGAAGTTGATTCAAACCCCAGCCTCTTGCGTCTCTCTCTCAACTGAGTTGCCTGAGCTAGGTCAAAACGTATCAAAATCCAAAATCAAGAAGCGTACTGAAGGAAAGGAATCTGTCTGAAGTCCGAAGTGTTACTGGCAAGTCTTTCAACACCGTTTCTGAGCTGTGTACTTTTCAGCTGCAACTTTAATTGCAGAAGGGACAACGGTGAAACAGCCTTCGAGGCAACTGCGAACTGCAAACATGCACAACAAATATGTCTTTCCACACGGCACAAAAACAAACACTGGAGAATAACTGGCACATGTCAACATATGTTGGAAAATTGGTTGACATTCGCCACAAAACAAGGGTAAAAAAACAATTGTCAACCCTTTACTGCTCCTCTGCATGTGTTTTGGAACTGAATTCGATCCTTGCCTCGTCCAAGTCACCAGAGACAACAAGAAACCATGAAACCCAAAGCGTAATCATTGGAACAGGCAACAGCGGCGACAACGAAAAGGAAACACAGCACCCTGTTACTAGTAGCGATGCCCTTGTTGCTAGTAGCGATGCCCTTGCTCCTAGTAGCAATGCCCCTTCAAAGAATGTTGTGACGTGGGGGAAACATCCGATGTTTGGTATTGCTGTTCAGTCTCACAGCCGGTGGGATTTCCTAGCTGGAGCCGAACTGGCAAGCACATCAGCAATTGATGCAAAAGTTTGCTTGAAAATCAGAACAAAGGACAAACAAACGTTCAAAAACCGGCGAAACATAATGCACCATGTCTTGCATTCAGGAACACTACGCTGTAATTTTTGCAGGAGGCACCATTCCTGCACATTGCCACTCGATATCTGAAATTGATCAAGGGCCCAGCTTGAGTAAAAAGGTTGCAACTGTGCATGGATCATGCGTGGGTTGCTTGGCTGCGGATTATTGCCCGAGACTGGTCCATTTGGGAACAAATCCTTCTAGGCAAATATGTTTGAGGCACTCGGCCACGCTATGGAATTCCAATAGCTTAAGCCGCGGTTGAAAAATTGTGCGCTAAAGCCTGCTTCTGCGTCGCTCAGCTCGATCAAACAATTGAATGCGGACAATTGCGTGGGACTCTGCGTTGGACCTTCCACGAGTGCATCAAGAATGGAAAAGCGAAAATGAAGCAGGAAGTGCAAAATATTGTAACAACTTGCTTAATAGTAAGTACTAAGAATTTTTCCCCAGCAATGAAGGTCAGGAGTCTTCAGCCACGGTAAGACTTGGAGCAAATCGGAGTAGGTACCGGAGCAAGCTTTGGGTCAGGTTTCGAAGCAGGCTCCGTAGCAGGTTCTGGAGCAGGTTCCGGAGCAAGTTGCGGTGCGGAAGAGGGTCCGGAGCAGGTTCCGGAGCAAGCCACGCTTACAAAAACATTGACAGGGCATAATGCTAACCAACATGCCATGGTGATGCCAGCATGGTGCCACACTGAGGTGTTGTCACCCCGATATGAAATGGTGTCATGTTGGTGCGTTATGTCATTGTGTAAATTTTTCTCGCGCGGATATGTAGACACGCCGTCACAGTTGTCAGGCTGTCTCGCTGGCACGCTGACGCGGGCCAGGCCACCATTATACGCCACGCTGTCATGCTGCGGGGCAACGCAATGGGTTTCAATGAATGCCTGTTGGGCAGTGGCAACATCACAAGTTCACCAACAAGTGTTGTACCTTTGCACGGCCGGCTGCTTTGCAACACGTGAGCCTGACAACGCCGCAACAAGCAAGAACCAGTGCTACGGCACACTGTCAAAGGACGCGCCAAAGCCTATCTAGACCCGTGCCAGAATCAGGTTCAGTTGGGGGGAAGGAATTGTGCTCTCCACCGTGATTTCACCGTCAGAGCCCAAGAGCACTGGAATTGTCAGCCTGGTCAAGAAAAGGAGGCGGCCCTTGGATTGGCGGCCTTTGCTTCAAGCGGCTCCTTGGAAGCTATATGGGAGCACCCGCCGCTGCTGGACACACTTGCGAGCGGCCACGCAAGAGACACAGGAGTCAACGCGTGGACGGGGGCAGACTATACCGCGCTGGCGTCACTGCCGCCTCCACGCTGCTTCTGCTACGCGGTGGCATCGCAACTATACCTCCAAGAAGAAGCGCACTGTAGAGATGAACACTTGCGCGGCCAAGGGCGCCTGGTCGGAGGAGACCGCAAGGCGACGCCTCAGGTTGGTGAGCCACCAGCCTTACACGCTGCGGGCTCGAGACCCCTGGCGGGTCTTTGCAAAACGTTGCGGGGCAAAACCTGTTTCACACGCAAGGAGACCGGCCTTGGCCATCTAGGACCAGGAGGGGTAAGCGCCGAGTTGCCGTGGCCGTAGTTCGCCTGGCCTGCCCACTAAGATGGCAGCCGGCTGCGACATGAGGCAAAGGGCCCACAAACCTAGCACGCGCTCCGCTTGAGCCAAATTTTCTGAAATCCCTGAACAAATAAAACAGAACACCTCCCCTGCATACTCAACCAATAGAAGTTTTCAAACCCCAAACCACTGTATATTACACAAATTATACAGTAATAATTACATTGTGATTTAATATCAAAAGCGCGCCCCCTGATCGAGGAGTCGCAACCCTTGCGTCCACAGCCAATTACCCAATAGATTGAGTTAGCTTGTTTTTGGACTATTGTCTATTTCTTGGAAATCAATTGATTTCTTAAAAATAGATCTATGTTTGGGGTGTGGAAAATAGATCGATTTTTGGCTTGAAATAGTTAACTTTTTTGGAAGCAAATTTGTCTAAATAGTTAGTTTATCGTTTTTGCGAATTTAACTATTAGCTAGATTTTTGTGATCAGTTTTCGAGCGAAAAAATCTAACTAATAGTTAAAAACAAAATTTGTCTAATAGTTAGATTTCTGACTATTAGTTAGATTTTTCTGGTGGCAAACTACTACCAAACTACTACCAAAGTACGACCCTTGTTTTTTAACCTTTTTTGTGTTTATATACACGTTTCTTACTGTATACAAACCGACGGAAACACAATTGGTACATCCAAAACATGGCCATGAATGAATACCCACAGTGATCAAACCTCTGACGGCACCTCTGTCATGGTCTCTCATGGCACCACTCTCTCATGAACAGTTGTCCACCACAGGTGGAGTCTTTGCAGGGGCTCGAGACTTCATCTTTCGTGCTTGCTTTGAAATCTCTCAATGGAGACTTGCCATCTCTGGCAATGGGGTCGGCTTCTAAAAAGCAGATTTCAGCAATTCCCGGTCGGTCTTGTTCATAGCCAACAAAAACTCTCTGAATCAAGGTATTTATACATAGATCTTTTCAGGGGCTGAAGACTTCATCTTTCATGCTTGCTTTCAAGTCTCTCACAAGGTATCTCATGGATATGTGTCTCCAAAAACCTGCTCAATAAGAATAAAACCAGTAAAAGTGATATTCTTTCAACAAGTCTTGGGTAAAGGGTTCTTTCAAAGCTACGACAGGTCTTTCAGTAGTAAGAGACCAACATGATTTTTCTCAAAGTCGATTTGTTGAAGTGTTCGCAACAAGTCTGCCATGAGAGAACTGTGGAGGAAATCCATGAGAGACTTTGAGAGTGAGAGACCTTAAAAATCAGAAACAAAGACTGTGGTGGGTGATAAATGAAAGACTGTGATATGTGGTAAATGAAAGGCTGTGACAGACTTTCAGGGTATAGTGTCAGACCTCATGGATGCAGATATATTTAAGACATGTTTGATGTGTCTCTCATATGGATGTCTCTGAAGGTGTCTCACGGATGCCTCTCACAGCTCTACGTGAAGCAAACTCGACGCACGAACAAACCACATATATACTCAGAGAAGTAAAACCTGCAGCTCACGTGTTCCAGCAAAGTGCACACAAGCTCACAGTTCTTTTTACGCAGCCAAGTCGAGATAGTGCAGGTGCAACCCTAAGCGGTAGTGGCGGGCCAGCTTTGTGGTTTGTTTGTCAAGCTTGTTGCCACGAACACACGCTTTAGCGACCTGCTGCATGCGCTGCATTTGATCCTCACCCATGAAGCACCATGTCACTTTGGGGTTTATGGAGCGACTCAAAATAGCAAGCTCTTGAAGCATGTGGCATTTGCTTGTGATATCGAAGCATTTCATGCCTTCCTCAACGAAGTGATCAGCTACCTGGGAAAGAAGTAAGAGCATGCTGTTGGCGGTTTCTTCAAACTCTTGTGCTGGTCCAGGTGGTAGGGCGAAGTCGTCCTTGTGGAAAGTAATCATTTCCTCCAGGTGTACATTTTGTTTCAGCATGAGGGTGATGCGCTGGTGCAGCACGAGGTGAGGGTTCTGATGCCGAGACCACAGGGCCAACAAAGCTGGGCCGAAGTGCCTTATCTCTGAGGCCTTCCCCCTCAATTTGGGGTACTTTCCTGTGCGGATGAACATTGACAATTTCGACAAATATCTGAATGGTGTGGGCGTGGCGTGGTTTTTGAAAAAGGTTTTCAAAAAATCCCAGCAGTTCTGCAAGTTCTGGTTCGCGTCATTTGGCATGACCATAGAAACCAAGAGGGCCATCACTGAGCCAAAGATGTACTGATCTACGCCCAAGTACTTTACGTGAACCCAATCGTAGGCTATTGACCAGCAACTCGCCCCAGGAAGAGTCAGCAAAATGCACTTCGAACGTTCGTCCCAATTTCTCCAAACATGGGCCTCCCAGCGCGTGTTCCTCCACATAGCCTGTGGTCGAAAATCTGTCCATGTTGCAGCGCCAGTCCCAGTGCATTTGCAATGCATACATGGGCCACCCACTGCGGAATAGTTGGGGGTGCCAAGCATGGCGTTGAAGTAGTCAAGGTCTCCTGTGAGTGCCCATAGGACACCCTTCCAGCCACCAGCCAGCCAAGACCCGGCTCTCAAGGCTTCCACAGAGCCTTCTTTGTACCTTACACAGCCGAAATTTTTCAGACCACACCTGAAACGCTGAAGAGGTGACACCATGAGAGGAACTTTTTGTACCCCTGAGAGGTGACACCATGAGAGGAACTAGGGTAAAGCAGTTCAGCTTCAATGTTCATGGTTATCATGTTCCAGGTTCTCATGTTCCAAGTTCCATGTTATATTCTCTTATAAATGGATGACCTCTCTCAATTGCATATTCATATTCCTGCTGGCTTGTTGCATGTATATTTAGCAACAAGACATGACTGAAAAACTTCAAGTTGCTTCTCTCCTCTGTGATTCCTCGAAGGCCACCTGCCTTCCGATAACGCCAAAAAGCTCCATCTCAATATGGAGTAGAACTCCAGGAGTGTGCCTGATGCTTGGTCGCCCACCTTCAGCTTGTCAAAGAACCCCCACACCCACATGAGCATTGATGGAGTGGTACCATATCCCAGAAGGGAATACCATGAGTAATTGGTCATCACTCGACTCCACACTTTCCCCACACCAGTGACTGGAACTCCGTCACCGTGCACGGCAATAGGCACAGTCCAACTCTCCCATTGAGGGGAGGAAGTCATGGGGTGATCACGCATCTGGGGATGAAGCCGCATGGCTCTCCAAAACTTTTGCACCCGCTCAACGCTTGGCACAACTGCAATGGACCAGACCTTCTTGTAGTTGCGGTATAGACAAGCAAACATTTCATGTGGCAACAGCATCGATTGAACTGAGTCAGGAAACCCTTTCAGTGGCACTTTTGCTTTGAAAGGCTTGGGGATTTTTGGAACATGCTCAACTTTGCTCATGAGCTCGGCGTGGATGTTGTTCGCGTGTTTTCCTTTGGTCCCCAGATTGGACAGGGTGTAGAGGTCTTTCAAAACTTGTGGGTCTTCCTTGGATCGTTCGATGTCCTTCACAGCCATTTCAGCGATCTGCTGAACTCTTTGTGGCGAAAAGAACCCCCACGCAAACAAGTTCAACAGGAGCAAACACAAAGCAGAGCTCTCGCAGCTTGCTGGCGCCTCCTTCTCGGCAGCCTGTTGTTGTAATCTTTGCTGATGGCCGCCGCGGCGTTTCTTTCTTGGGGGTTGCCAATCATCCATCATGGCTGTCTACAGGCTTGATGTAAACTTCTGGATATTGACCACTAGTGGGGCCAAAATAAAACAAAACCATGGTTACATAGAAGAAACCCAGAAAGGACGCTTCGATACAGGTTGATTTGAGGCCAATGTGAGCCTACCACAATGGCACAATGAACTTGTGGCTGGTTCATGATGAGTATATGTGAAGTCCTCTCATGACTGAACAAACGCAAACAGAGATAGGCCGGTGAAACTGCTGCCATCATTTTGGTTGACCCTCTTCACATAAGAATCTTTAACCGCGAGTGGCGAACATGAACTCTGACACCCTGACTTTTCTCCATGGTTTTCATGAATCTGTCATGGTTTCATTGGCTCATTGGCTCTCATGGTCTCTTTACATCTTATGGCTAGTTCTCCATGGCTCTCAGTTTGTTTCACTCTCTCGAGTTTCTGTGTGACAGCCTCTCAAAGTGCCTCTCAGGGTGTCTTTTGGTTCTGCCTTGATACGAGCTCTAAGTATTGAGGACAAAAACAGCAAGGTCTACAACATGGCTCTCAGCTTCTTTCACTCTCTCGTTTCTACGCGACAGCCTCTCAAAGTGCCTCTCAGCCTCTCAGGGTGTCTTTTGGTTCTACCTTGATACGAGTTCTAAGTATTGAAGACAAAAACTGCAAGTTCTACAATAGCTTTTTGTTCACACGTCATACGAGTTCTTTTGTTTTTCAGTTCCAATGTTTCAGCTCAAGCGCACAGCACAAAAAAAAAAACAATTTTCAGCGTTGAACAGCGGTCCCTTCAAGTTGTCACATGCCTCTCAGTGCCAAACCACAGGTGTACTTGAGGTTCAAGTTCATAGAGAGGGCTCAAAAACTCATTGAGGTCACGGGTGACTCTTGCTAGATTCATGACTTGGCCTTGCCGGTCTTTGCCCGAGCTTTTGCAGCTTGGATTTCCCCGTGGTACTTTTCCACATCTTTGGCGATGCCCCCGATAAAGTTCTCCAAGGAGTTGCGGTTGATGGCAGCCTGGGACGGCAGCTCGCCGAGGATGAGAAGCTGGTTCAAATTCGTAATGTGTTGGCTCAAAATCTTGTACGCATCTTTCACTCCACCACTCATATCCGGTAGAGCCACAAGCTTGGAGCCGTCTTTGACCAAACGCTCGCATGCATCTTTCGCCTTCACCGCGAGCTTCTTGACTGACTCCGGAATTTGGCCCTGCTCATCCATTCGTTTCTCGTCCGCCTGATATGTTTTGCGATGAAGCGCATAAGGGCAACCAACATGTAGCTTCCCTTCAAAGGAATGTAGGGCTACGAACCCTGAGAGAACCCTGAGAGGAAGGAGAGAGAGAGAGAGAGATAGAGAGAGAGAGAGGGAGAGACCATGAGAGGAAACCATGACCATGATAAAATTCACCATGACCATGAGAGGAAACCATGAGAGGAAACTGCTGAAGAATGTCATCCTTTTAAGAAGTTGCTCACGGAAGCCACCCACCCCTGTCCAAAGTTCACCCGCACTGGCACCTGTTAAAAGTTGACCCACCCCATGCAAGCCACCCACCTTGCTCAAAGTGAACGTCCATTTGAGCTTGCTCATGGAGTCCGCCAAGGCGTGGGCCTGCTCCTTGTTCAGCTTCTTGTCTCCCTGGACTTGTTCGCCTGATTCGTTGCCTCGTAGCTCGGTGTGGCTGAACTTTCGGAATTGCAGGTACTCAAGCTTTGACACAGGGTCTATCTTCGACATGAGCTCGCCGTTGTTGATCGCCTGGTTCATCAGGGCCTCATTTCCGTGAAAGTGACTTGCCAACATCAAAGTCTTTGGCATGGCCTCAGTCTTGTCCTTGGCGACGTTGGCCTTCCAAACCTTCCTGTATTCTTGGAATTGTTGACGATCAGACATCACGCGAAAGGATCCATCATCGCCCTTCTCGAACAAGCTGTTGATGAGCTTGGTTTGGTAGGCTCGCTGCCCCTCCTTGGCTGTTTTGCTTTCCACCTGAAACATGTGCACTATATGGTCAGGTAGCGATCCATTGCTCAGCATCTTGTGGAACTTTTGGGCCTTCTGTTTATCCCTCACCTCTGACTCTTCACCTTCACCGCGTTGCTCTGCCCAATCCTGGATCGCGTCCACCGTCTCACGGATTGAGCCTGAAGCGGCTGGTTTCTTCTTCGCCCCCTCCGCTGCCGCCGAGCTTGGTCGCTTCATTGCTGGCATGGCTAGTCAAGGGAAGCGGATGGCAGTCAATCGAAATCACGTTCAAACTCTAAGACTTCTTGAGATTGGCGTTCAGGTTCACAAATGAGCGCTGAAGTTCATCAAAGCTTTCAACAGTTCAGCAACCTTCACTTGTACGAATGACCGAAAACTCAATTCAAATGATGGATTGTTTGTTAGATTTCTATCAAAAATGTTTACAATTTTTAATGGCTGAGTAGTGGATGGGGTCATAGTTTGGTAGAAAGTAGGTCGTAGTTTCTAGTCATACTTTGGTAGTACTTTGGTAGTAGTTTAGAGAGGGGTCATAGTTTGATTTCACAAAACACTGTATATACCAATGGTTTTGCATGTTTACCTTCAAAGTGCTACCAAAGTGCTACCAAAGTA